GTTCACCTTATTATTTGAAAAACAATTATATACGTCATTTAACTTGGTTTGTAATATTGCTTTCATAAAACAGCACATCGCAGCAAGTTTTATGTTAGCGCAAGACTGCTAAATGATCTAGCTTGGAGAAAAACGTAATTTCAATTAGCAATTTGCTAGTCTGATGTCTTCATTTATGCTCACCCCAAATGATTTCTCAACGGATAAAACTGTAGGTGTTATTAAATGTTATTCATAAAGTAGTTTCTCTTGGGGTTTTTTAATGCGCAAATACTTATCATAGTGCTATAATGGTCCCACGTGCCGTAACCTATTATGGTCGTAGGAGCATCATACATACTTTAGAAATTTAGGGCAAGATAACCTAAGCTTATATCACTTCAGGTTGTTTTTGATGGTTAAGCTTAAAATATCGTATTACAAAAATCAGGTGCCCAATGTCGAACGCACGATCACGATTCCTGTAGCCTATTATAATTGTAGGGGGAAATACATATATTGCAACTGTAGCAACAATGGTTGCGTCTAGAGCAAGATGACCTGGCGGAGTCTATCCTACATTATATTGGTTTTGAATTCCGAGTTGCCCTTCTACAATGGTTGCCCTACCAAGGTTAAAAAATCTCTTTTTTTCATTCTGTTTTTGTTATTTTTTATTGTTTTTTTTTCTCATCAAAATGAAAAAAAATGAATTTCTTTTCTCAGTGTAACTGGAAGAAATCCACGGCACACAACAAAATTGACATTATTGTAATCACCGCGTCTGCCTGGTTTTAGGTAAATGAATCGCCAACTTTGAAAGTGAAAAACGTCAATACAAGATTATACTTTTTTTGCCCTTCAGGACGAAGGCGAACTTGGCTTTCTACTACTTTCTATTCTCCGTAGTTTTAAGCAATGTTTGTCCCCTTAATATCCGATGCAGTTCGTCTTCTGCCAGCTATTTGCACAAACTCGTTATAGGGGTTACACGTTATGGCCTTCTGCCACACTCCTTGACTTCAATACGTCTTCTTTCCTTATGTGTCCCCAAAAATGTCAAAGTGTCTCTTTCTGATTCTAAGTACGTTTCCTTTTTTTGTTTCCATTGTCTCTTAAAACGACCTTGTTGCTCATATGCCTGTGTCCGTGGCAGTCATAGTATCCTCCCATAGAACCGCATCTCTTCTAACTCAAGATTTATTTTCATCTACGTAGAAATTGTCCAGCAATTTCCTCACAAATGTGAAAATAATAGAAACAAAGACAGAACCAAAATGGAGAAACACCGCCAATAAGAAAGATGTTAAAAACAGAAAAGAAATAGTAATTGTTTATAAGAACATTTGAGATTATAAGGATTGGTCGGCCGGGACAAAAATCTTGGTCGGCTGATGAGTTTGCCGAACAGTATCTCTTGGTCAGTACGCTGATAACCCGTCTGGCTTTTCATGTGTTTTCCAGGGCCGCTTTAGGCTCTCAATCCGCCTAATAAACAATTCTCCTTTATCTTTGTATACGCCCAGGTTTTTTTTCGTCCGACCTACATTAACAGCGGTAGGTCTTATTATCAGGCATCAGATATTTGTCACTAAGTTCCCAATACTTGTGACCTTGTATCATACTAAACAAGTTTGATAAATGTCTAGAGAAAATATAGCTATTCATTGGCTGCTGGTAAGGTGGACAATAAGTTTAACAGATTCCACCATAATTCCAACTTGGTTCCGTATTTGCAATTCTTCGACGCCCTCCTACTCGCAATGAGACGACCTCGAAAATTTCAATATACATAATAGTTGACTCATGAGGTAGAAATGTCGGACTATATGAAATTGATAGTTTTTAATATTAAGAATCTTCAAATATGTTGTTAATTGGACAAGGAAATGGCTTGTTAATTTTTACGCCTTCAAAACGAAGCTGCACTCGATTAATCGTCTGTGAGAAGCCTTTTTGCCTTCCATCAGCATGGCTGATGATAAATCCCTGAAAAGTGACTCATTGCGCCTTCTGGGACTAAATGTTTTCCGCTGACATGAAGTAAAACGATTTTATCGAATCAGTTGCTAGTTGTATTGCTAGGAAAGTTGGTTTCCTGTGTTGTTTTAGGCAGTTTTTTTTTGTTTCACCTAAATCTATCTTATATATTTAATAAGTCTGCCATTCGTCCTTGCTTTGAATATTGCTGCCACATCTGGTCTGGTGCCCCTGCTATATATTAAGTGATTCTTGATAGAATCCAAAGAAGAATCTGCAATGTAATTGGTCTTGATCTGACATCTCGACTTCAGTCAATTTCACATCGACTTTCTTTTTATTTATAAGTCTACCATTCCTCTATGCATTGAATATTGATGCCACATCTGGTCTGGTGCTCCTGCTATGTTATTGATCCTGACCTAGCATCTCGGCTTCAGTCACTTTCCCACCCACTATAATGTAGCTTTGCTGTGACTTTCTCTATAAATAATTTCATGGTAATTATTCGGATGAACTTTCCGCTATGGTAATTAGACTTCATAAATCTAAGCGCAGTACTAGATTGGCAGCAAGGTCCCATCATTTTACAGTTGAAATGGCGGAATGTAACCGTAAGTTCTATGTTAACAGTTTCTTCTATTGCACTT